GACTGAAAATTTTCATTTTTTCTGAAAAGGTGGTGTCTATTTACTTGCGACCACGCTATGTACGTAGGTGCGTGTGTATTAAACTTGTAACCTGAATGTCAAATTTCCCTCATCAAGGTCACATTGATTAAGATCCAGGATAGCACACTATAAATATATTAGATACAACATATTCATACTAATGAGTAATCGCTTGCATGGTTTAGGTTCTTTACTAAATGATGTGCGTCATAAAAAATATATTCTCGAAGCTCGTACATTTTAAAATCTCAAACGTATTTTTATGTGACATAAATTTATTGTATCATAAATGAAAAAAAGAAACTCGCAAATGTTTATTATTATTCTCGTGTTTCATTTTGTATTACCGACCCCCCCCCCCTCCCAACGCTTCTTTAAGTCATACACTATACCAGGCTGTAACGCGTACTAATACCAAATAATTTTACCATAGCTATGAGAGTTTTTAGAAAATGTAGCCAACTTTGATGATGCAAAACGTGACGTCGAAACACCCAGCGTCTTAGATATGCAATAACATATCGACAGCGAAAATGTGTAACAAAACTCAGCTATTTTATGGAAACACTTAATCTGTACAATAAATCAATAAATAAAAGCTTTCAGAGCAAACCTATAGAGTTCGAAAATACGCTAAATCTTTTTTTTTTTTTTGGCAAAGTAAATTTTCACCACGATTGTTTGCCTTATACCGGATATTTTCAAGCGTTTGACACATGAAACTATTAGCAGGGAATATTTTGTTTTTGTTTAGCGACTTCTGTGGACAAAACTTTAACGAACAAAGGTTTCGTTCAATTTTTTTTTTTTGCGATACATTCCATAATATATATAACTCAAAATCAAAAGTTTTCCATTACCGCTCCTTGTTGTCAACATTAAAACTCATAACGGATAATATGTCTGTGGCCAGAGCACCCAAACGCGATGGGGATATTCCATCTATCAGACAATAACCAGACGCCGATGTCAAACTAGTTAGCAAATATGGGAAAATCATTTAGAGGTTAGGAATCCAGTGCTTGTACACACGTCGTCTCAACCCCTACTGCCTTTCGATGTTTGCAGCCGGCTGTGGGAAGGCAGTTTACTCTTAATATTTAGATACATCCTTAAAATATTCTCATAGTAGAAATAGACTAGCTTATATTTCTACAAGACTTCTAACCTCAACCGTTTTATTTAATAATTATAAAATGACGTGAAACAGAACTAAAACCCTTACCTTTATAGTTCTTAATTAAAAAGGTCCAATACTAAAAATTCACAGGCTATTAATATGTTTTTAAAAATTCGTAGTTAATTCATTAAAATCAAGAAGCTCAATTGTAACTTTTACATACGTCACCCGATTTAGTTTTGTAACCTGTTAACGAATTACTAAGTCTGAATAGTTTTAGACCTGCAGGGCTGACAAATATTTGAAAGCTTTGTTGAAATATTTTTAATAAATTCAAATATACGTATTTGTGATAGGAAGAGTATATAACTCTACTACTTGTTTTGAAGAACGTTATTCTTTAACGTTTTTGAGAAAAAATTAACCAGTGTTTAAAAATTCCCCATTTGAATTTTTTTATTTTTTATCTGCGTGTAAACACGATAAATAAACGTTATAAAATATCATGCCTGAAGAGGGCACTGCCTATTACCAAACTTGTGCTAATAAAATATCTGCTTATAAGACCAGCTAATTACTTCGTTATAATTAAAAATAAAATCAAGTACTAGAAAAATGAAACATTGCAACTGTGTTAGTTTCTTATACGTTTAAAAAACCAACTGTAATTAAATTAACTTAAAATTCTCAAATATGGCTAATACTCATATACAGTATAATCAGACAACATGCAAAGTACTCAGAAAAAACACTGAATTATTGTTAAAACAATTCAGACCTGTCGACAAAGTGCTTTAACAAGAGGGTTATTTGAAATACCAATGAAACATTCGTTCTTTAGATTGTTTTAGCATAAAACTGTATAATTGAATAAGACCACCATCTCCAAAATTAGGATCAAACACCAATTTGTTGCATAATAAGCAATTAATCTAACGGCTGAATCAATGGGAAGGGGAGCTTTAGAAGAACCTCATGTGTCTAGATAACAATACAAAAGTTTTTGTTAAAATAAGTTCATAAACAACCTAAATCATAGGTTTCTTTGATAGTATTTCTATTTTTTTACATTTCTTTTTGACAAACATAGCATAGAAGTTTGTTTTACCAGCAATAGATCTGCAATCTTGACGACCAGATTTTTTTGTTTTGTTTTTGCTGTGAATTTATCATTAGATTACTATCAGATGTGAACTACGTAATCTAGAGAACACACGTTTGACTGTAACTACTTTTGTAGTGACATTATATTGGAAATTCAAATATGATGAAGTGTACTGGCCAGATTTCTTTTTACTGATTTAATTTAATTTAAGAGATACTTTTGGTACATCACAGTAATTATAATAATACGAACTCTTCGTATTTGGCATCTCAGACAAAAATGATAACACAGTACAAAATTTAACAAGACAGAACCATTATTTTATTTATTATTATAATACAGTGCACTATCAATACAAGTATTGCACCACTGTATAACAAAAGAAAGCATTTTTAAATATATACAAATAAGTACGTTTTATCACTTGGCTCTCCTTTGTTTGCTTGAGCATATATGATGCACATTTAGCATCACTGATTCATGAAGCCATTGAAATGATTAATCTATAAGAAAACATTTACTTCTGTGTTGTAAAAATAAACGTCTCCTTATTGTGGCACAAGTAAAAATCGTATCAAATAAAATTTAGTCATTGTTAAATTGAATGTATGATCGATCATGCAACTAATGAAACATTTAATTATCTTCCATCACAATTTTTCACATCTTTCTTCTCTAACTTTTTTTTAGAATAAACAGAAAACTTTGCTTAGGTTTTAATCAGCACATAGGTAGGTGATGTTGCAACCCCACAGTTGTTATCTTGTTGACTCATGAGAACGTAACCATCGTTCCCCCAATAAGTGGACCAGGAGTTCTTGATGAGCCAGTATGGCTGACCGTTCATTATACCATAACCCACTGCTAGGACAGAGTGGTCAAGATCATCATTCTTATTACCTGTTGAGATCCAGAAGACAAAAAATATTTAAACAAGCAAGTCAAATAAAACATTATTTTAATTAAGAACAAAATTTAAAATGCATTACATTTATGTAAACATGCATAAAATACAGAAAAACTGAGTATTCAAAGGAACAAAACAGAATAAAGGGAGAGAGCTTACTCAATTCCTATAAAGAGAAGGTTTGTGGTAAATACTTCATCATCTACTATATCACACTCAACATTCACTTTATGCAGGAGATAATTTGAAAACAGTATTTCCCCATACAAAATTAACCTTTAATCCCAAAACCTTGGCATCTAGCCATCTTTTCCTATGTTATTGCAAAACAGCACGTTTTTACAAGAAATCACTTAAAAAATACTTAATTGCAGGGGTTTCTTGCAACGGCATTATGCTAGTTGTATTATGCTTCATTTCCAGGTACTGATAAGAGCTGAACTATGACATGCAATACTATCTAAAGTCCAAAACATCAGGCAACAAACCTCACACAATGACTAACAGTCCATTTCCTTACCACATTGCTCAAAATAAACAAAAGCTTGCATTGTGACTTTATGCAATTCTGATTTAATAATCCAACAATATACAGTTCAAAGTATGCTAATGTTGTTTATTGGTTTCAGTTAATGTATTTCAAGATAAATTGAATGAAAATTACATAAATAAATTAGACTTTATACCGAAGATAATAATAACAATAATTAAAAACAAATGTAATTTACATCCACTTTTCATTATTTAATTCAAATGAGAAAATGATGACCATTTCTATCCATACTAGGAAGCACATTTCGTAATTCACATTTGACTCGCATTTCATTCAAATGAGAGACTTACCAATTTTTTGAAACACATTTTTTATATCTATTATCCAGAACTCACCACATTTAGGTTCCCAATATACACCATTAGAATAGAAAGAAAAACTTTTATGTGAAGCATCAATAGATACAGATATAGGTCCATTGTAGACTAAGGCAAGTTTCAAGGCTTCCAGATCAGGATCTTTTGAGGTGACATTTACATAACCCATTAGTTGGACAGTCCTATTTACATTTCTTTCGTGACATTTTCCATCCTAAATAAATATGTAAATAATAATTACAATAATAAAAAATGTCATTTTAAAATAACTTAAAACACTTTTGGATGAAATGATTATCTTCTAAATTTTTTCTTATGTTTTTCATGACACATTAGAGATTTTTCCACTTGGTTCTGAAATAAAATTATAAAAGCAGAATTAACTCTTGTCAGACCATAACTGTGACTACAAATTATAGGCACAAGTTTTCCTCCTAGCTAAGTTAATAGAAAGGAATGTGATATATTAAGTGCAAAGATTATCTGGATAATTTTGGTTTATATAACTTCCATTTTATAAATGTATGCAGATTTATTGCAAAGTATACATTTTAAATAACATGTATTAAAAATAAACATTTAAAATCTCAAAATAACAAATAAAACTAAGTAGTCATAACTAGCTTTTTCTAACTTAAACAAAACTCACCTTTACTCTTATGTTTTTTCATCATACAACTTGAAAAATTGAGTCATAAAATATTACAGTAAAAAAAAAATGTTTTCAAAATTAATTAAAATTTTGACACTACAAATAAATTCTTATATAAAAAACTTGAGTAATGTTTTAAATTCAGTCCTTAAAAATGACAAACTTAAAGAAAACAACAAATTATCAGAATAACTGACACTTTACCTGACCAAGATAAGGGCCATAATCTTCCTCTGCAGCTAAACCACCATTTTTTATTATATAGTCATAAGCACGGTAGTCCTCGCCACCATCACAACCATTGTTCTGGTTAGACCAGCTACAATCAATCAGCTGCTGCTGAGATAAACGAATCAGATTCCCAGTCTGAAGAAGAAATAAAAGTCGTTGACCACAGCAGTGAACCTGAGTGGTACAATTACCTTAACGTACTGATAAAAATAGCTATATATACCTACAAATAAGGTATCCAAATATTTATAACCATCCTTCCACATACAAAGGCATCCATCTATATGTACATATTGTATACTTTAGCTCACAAGACTGCTATTATGAAAAATCTCTCTATTCATGCACATTTATAAATATATATGTCACAAGTTGGGCTGTAGTCTAGTTTCATAGTATATGCTTAAGTTTTGACTGATGCAAGACTTTCTCCTTTAAGATTGTTTTATATATATATATTCTAGTTCAGAATAAACAAGCCCATAAAAAACTTGAACGAATGACCAATCTACAAGATTCAAATTGTTTAAAAAAGTTTTATGCATACTGTTAATCAGCAAATTACTTTTTAGTTTTACCAAACTAATTAAGCAAGATAGGCTTAAATCCATGTCAGTGCTTCTCATGCTTTTCCAATATCATTCGCCTCAATCACTCCAGTTAAAAAATAAAAAAGACATAAATTACTAAATTAAATGCAAAATTCTTTATTATGACTTAAATATACATCAAACCAACTAGAATGAATACAACATAAAATCAACAAAACCCCTGGGTGAACCATTGACACAGATGAAAAGCACTAATCTATGTGCCAACATGTATAATCAAATTGAAATAGACTAACTTTTATTTTGTACCCAGACAATGGTGTAACTTCAGTTCATTGTCTGTTCTATTTGTTTTAGATATTACTGCACAATATATTATACAAAACTACAGAAATTAATGCAATATTTAAAAATTATTTATATGGGGTAGTAAAGTCAACATTTTCCTTACCTCTCTGCACATAGTAGCTATTCCTTGTCTGTATGCCTTCGAGATTTTGTGCATGCCACTAGCCTTGAGTTACCTCCTACCTAAGACACATTTTAATGTGAACTGCACGAGTGCATGATGTAATCATCATGTAACAATAGCCCTCCACCAATAGTTCCCCATAAGCACTTGCACTTAAAATTAACTTCATTCTTAGAGGCAAGAACAATGTGCAGTGGTAGTGGGGAAGAAAGGTATCCATAGAAATAACAATCTATCAGAAATACATTTTCAGGTAAGAAAAATGTTACTTCTGAAATAATATACTTACCTCTCTGCACACAGTTGCTGGAATCCTACATCGATATGGTGGAGGAGCTGGTGCAATTGTAAATATCAAGACGAGCTCCCTTTGAAGAAGACAACTGAAGGGGAAAGCTCATGCAATGTGATACTATATAATGGAAGCTTACTAGAGGGGTAACATTCGTGGGAGGCTGCATCCATCTCATGTAGGGTACACACTCCTTTCTTGGATGGAAGTATGAAAGGAGAAAGGCAAAAATCAGCCAATATTTCACAGGGATGGTCAGAAAGGGCATGACCAACTGAGTATCTGCACACAATAGGTCAGTTGGACGTGAGATTTACTGTGGCAATGATCAAACTGTACAGTTTGGTATGTGTTCTGTTGTATAATTTACAGAAACAGGAGCAAAGTCTCTTCCGGGCCAAACCACCAGGAAACTGATGTATTATATAATGAGACAGACTTGCACTACACTGACATGGAAAGTCCTGCCTTACTTCCCATTGCATTCTGCTGCCCATTCTAACTCTTTTGGGAGGGGTTATACAACTGGTGAAGAATTCTCAAGGTACACCACTCAAGCAACTAGGAACTAAGAGTGGCAAGTCTTCGATGATCCATTCCAAACAGGAGGGGGGAAATTCAGATTGGCAAGATACTCGAGAGGTGCCCGGACCTAACCATTTCTACTTACTGCAAATGTCTTTTACTGGAAAAAGTGTAATGGGTTACCATGAAACCTAGTTAGAAAAGCCAGCATACATGGCTAGGGAAACCTGCAGACACTCTTTTGGTGCTGACTTTTTTCATGACAGTCCATGGAAGATACAGTTTGGAACAGAAAATGAAATATTACAAACACCATCATGGTGATCTTGCAGAAACCCTATCTCAACAGTGGGCACTTCAGGAGTCAGGGCAGATGGGTTTGATGCTTTCTGTTATCACACACTTGATGTGTGTTTATGGAAGTAAGTATACCCTGTGAGGTAACACTAGTTATCAGGAGGGTTCCAAGAAGTGAATGTGAGAATGATATAAACTGGTAAGAAAATAAAAGAAGCACCCATTAAAGACAGTAAGTAGATTGGAGAATGTTGTCTAGAGTGAGATAGTATTCTGAGGGAGATGATACTACCACATGATGGAGAATAAGAGAGATAAAATTGTTCGAGTTCACATTTAAGCCTGGAGGATCTCAAAGAGTTGTCTGATGTGCAAGGCCAGAGAGTGAGTCAATTGGCCGATGTGATGCAACGAGATGTGATACAGCCTATGAGCATCTTCATCCAGAGGAGGAATAGATTATCCGGATGAGCTGACAAATCCATCTGATAAGCATGGTAGACAAGAGATCCTTTGAAAAAAAGAGAGGTTCCATGGCAAGAATAAATGACTGTGAGAACCCTAAAATGGAACCATGCATGCCACTTAATACCTGACCACCCATAGTGGACACAAAAGGCAATCAGGTTCAGTATAACCATTGATGGAAGAAATGTGGGAGAAAAGGTACATTCTCCCTCCTGAGCCACCCAAGTCTTAGAAATAAATTAACAGTCAAGAAAGATCTGTAAAACAAGGTACAGGAGGCATGCAATGCATAAAGATGAGATCTACAATGACCATAAGCAATAAGGAGAAGGAAACAAGAAAGTGATGGTATAAGGAGCAAGTGGCTAAAGGTACAAATGGGGCCTGGATAAGAGGAACGATGAATCAACAACATCAAATCAAATGTTACAATAATACATCTTAATTAATGAAGAAAATAATTTACGGATTCTAACCTTCAAGAAGTAGGCCCCCTCAATTGTTCCAGTAGTACCAAAACTCCAGCAAGAACCACATACAGCCTGGTCTTTAACAGGTGTTACAGCACCTAAAAAAAAATAAACAAATGAAAAATGTTCAATTACACTTAATTTAAAATTATTCAAACATAGTAATCCTCCCTAGTGGCTCAGTAGTTAATTTTGAGTTGATATAGGTACAATTTACTTAATAGGTAGCTAGCTAGTTCTGTGGTCCTCAATGATCACACACCAATCTTTTCTACCGATAACATTAGGTAATGCTTTCATAAAAGTACTAATGTCCGATGTGAATTCACTGAAGTTAAATGATTTGTAATGTTCGGAATTTATAAATGTTCCTGGTCAAATATCTTAAGTTTTCCGATTAATAAGCTTTAATCACAATTATAGTTTCTGAGGTTTATAATATACCAACTATAGCAAACTAATAATAGATACTGTTTTTAGGTGCGTTGCATTGGTTATATTTATAGTTTCTCAAAAATTCAGATTACACAACAATACAAACACTACACTAGCATTTATGTACACATATATATTGTTGATTCTTATACTCGAGAATCTTTAACAACTTTAGAGAATAGGCGGGGGTTTTACAATACATATTTAACAGTATAAGTTATGTACATTTCTCAATATAAATTCAACTTAAACAGATATCGATATTAAAACATATATATAATAGTAAATCCATCACAAACTGCTGGAAATGGAGGTTGAAAGATTTAGATATAACTGAACTGACTATTATACAGTGGCACACTATTACTTTTTCTTAGCAAGGCATGCAAACAGTTTTAGATGACAGAAGAAAACATTTTTCTTTAATGTGCACTAAATATATATAATAATTGGATTAATAATACTTTTGTAGTCTATGGCACATTTTGCTTTTAGTTTAGTTTGTTAAGTGTATGAAAAATGAACACCTTTGTATATACCTATGTCATTCCCCAAAATTTTTTCCATTTTTTATTTAAATATCTTATTTAATGAATTATGTAATTTAGCAAGACAAGTTTTGAAATACTCCACCCATTAGCTGTGTAATTCCTCAAACGTTTTGGACTGTATGTAAACTAGCTTTGGATTGGTTTGCATGGTGGTGTGACCTGTGGGTGTAATCCAATTGTAAAATTTGATGAGCCATCTTTAATAGCAAGTGTTTAATTACAGATGATTAAACTATTCAGTTACATGTCTTTGCTATATTTCCCAATGAATGGCTAATTGGAAAGTTGGCTGCACTCAGGATCACTTTGCCTAAGCAATGTGATGCAACTTGAAGCATTGCATGCATTTACAAATGAGAAAACAACTGATGTGACCAGTTTGCTTACACACATCTATGTATATTTTGATAATCTTATAAATGCCACAGATCAACTTACATGGATGCCATGTCACCCACTCCTGTTATAAAAAAAATTTAAAGGCT